AACACCATGTTTAAATTTGTCCTTTGGCAAAGGGGGCAAGGGCCCGGGCAAATGAAACCTGGTTATGCCATAAAGCCTGCAAAGCATCTTTAGATTATACCTTCATTTAATGATAAAAACCATAGTTTTTGGCTTTTCTTTGTATGTAGATGCTTGATACATTAAAAACGACTGAAATAATAATTTGAGTAACAATTAATATGTATTTGTTACTTTATAGATTTAATAGATATTTCTTGTTACTTTATTAACATTTTTATGCTTACACTGTGTGGTAAAAATGGCTGCTGCTATGATTTTGTCTGGTTTATGAGCTCGTTGCTGTCCTAATTTAGGATCTTCTTCTTAATAAATTCTTGAAAATGTTAAAAAAGAGAGAGAGAAAGGGGGCCCAGCGAGGATGTTTGCCCCAGGACCTGTGCTTGCTCTCGACATTCCTGGCCAGCTGGTAGCTAATGATGCATTTTTGGGTACCTTTCCCACCTCCATGTTTATGTCCTTTCATGGTGATAGAAATTTCAGAAATGGGATTACTGTTGTCACTAGATATCTTGAGATCAGCTCCAACCAGGGTGGGGATCATCTAGTTTATTTTGTTGTACTTATTTATTTATATTATCATATTTTGATTTCCCACTGAACTGTCCTCATGTTATTGAGCTCATCCTAGGGTCTGCTTGGGTCTTTCTTCAGTTTTTCCCCTGAGTGTCTACTAATTTGGCTTCTTATATAACTCTCTGGTTATTTTTAGTGTGGATGAAGAGGGGCTACTGCTTTTGCAGTTTTTACTTTCACAATATGTGTCTGTACAGCTCCACCAAGAACATTGTATTCCAGGAGCATGATACAGTATTACTCCTACCTGTTTATGCTACCATCTGTGTCTTATTGTTGGTTCCACATGTTCAATACACCATTACCACTCACAAAATTAATCCCTTTGCCTGAATTGAAGGACACCATGGGTAAAGAGATACCCTGTCTATTAGAATGCCTGAGTGTCCTTTAGGTCCAGTCTTTTTATGCTGATCCCTCTATTTATCTCCCTCAAATCTAATTCTGCCCATTATTTTCTGGTTCTGGATTCTACTCAGACACTGTTTGGTTAAGTATTACTTGTAGTCTAGGTTATATTCCTGCTCTATAGCAGTTAATATTTTAAATTTATTTTCATGTTAATTGGTTCCCACCTCATTTATAATGTAGGATTTCTAGCTTTCAGAATTTCAGAGGTAAATCTACCTGATTTAAATTTGACATTTTTAAAATTAAAATTAATTTTAAAGGGGTACTTACCTCCAAAATACTTTCCCTCCCACCTCAGCACAACCAAAATTTTATCACAACTTCAACTTTTAATAAAATAAAATTAAGGCATGAAAGTAGAGCTTACAAATGATCCTCTAATGCTTACACAATAAGTTATGTGGAAAGGTGGAGAATTATGGGTAAGTGACACATGCTCTTCAATGCATAAAAGGACTTTCAAAAATGTTTTAGTCACGTCTTTTGTTGACATCACGAGTCAACTCAACGTGGAAAGGTTTTCAGTATTTCAGAAGTAAGTATCTGTTTGAAATTTATTTTACTTCAAAAATGTGTAAAATCAACATATTAATCCATTTAGTTTATGATATGATATTTTACATCTGACTAACCTTCAAGCTTTGTTAAGGAATGGACAGGGTCAAGTTCATTATAATAAAATGATTTTGAACATGCAAATCATCAGCAGATACTAAGTCACGGTGGAACAAAAGGTATGAGAACTACATTTCAACACAGTTTGGCATTTTGTAGGTACTGTGATGCTATCAAAAAGTTATTACTTTCTGGAAGGATATGTAACAGCCTTTTCCAATGAAAAATATTCATACACTCAGATCATAAAGATGTGTTCAGGTTTGGTATTTAGAATTTCCAAGATGAGGGTATCCATTGTATTTTATGGTATTGAAAAACAAAAGAATATGGATCAACTTCAAACATCAGGATCATCTAGAAAGATATCTGCAATAAGTCATATCCCAGATGCAGTAAGCAAAGTTTGGCATCTTGTAACAGGTGAGAATCTGTGCATTTAAGTCAGTGGCAAAAGCCACCCATGATCCCCTAGACAACAGTATGCAATATAATCAAGAAGGATTTTCATCTGAAAGTGAAGATGACAGTATGTGGTTTCAGCAAGATAAGGCTTCCAGTTATACTCTCTGTTCAATCATCACAATACCTCAAGCAACTGGAGAATGAAGTGGGGATTCATAGTATGCCATGTGAAGATATACCAATCAAGTAGCTGGATGCAGTACCATATGAATCTTTGTGTAATTTAACTTTTTAAATGGGTGCTGAGAAGGCATTGGTCTTGTACACTAGACAGATTATGGAAAGCATATAGGAAGGAGTGGTGTGTTTTTGGATATGACAACCTTACAATGGACCCTTTTCCAATATAAACTATACTGCAGGGTTATTGTCAAGATGTACAGTTATCAGATAGAGCATGACCATATGAGGGAACATGGACTATAAAGATATAGTGAGGCTCCAAAATCATTTTTATATAATGTACTCAACCCTCTATAGACATTTGTTTTTCAATTAAGTGTAGTTTAACATTAGTTTTTATAAGCTTGTGTGAGTCTTGTGTATTTAATGACAAAGTAAGAAAACTAAATAAGATCGTAATTATTTAAGAATGCCCAAACTTAAAAACTTGCAGTGTTTTCTGTGTATATACATATATATATATATCTACATTTGTAAGTTATGACAGACTGAGTATTTTACAGAAGAAAGTGCCAGTGAAAGTGATGATGCAGACAGTGTTAGTTCTTCCTATTCTTCACTCAGTGAATTTGTGAAAGATATGTTCAACAGCGAAATTTGTGGCGGAGTTACTGGTAATGCTAATCTTTGTTATTTTTCAGTCATATAAACATACTCTCAGCTTTTTTTAAGTGGAGCAGATTTCAAAGCTAATTAAAAATACTTATATAATTTCTAGATACTCAATACACATTTGAAGAATATTTATATTAGGTCAACTAAAATTTTTTTCTTTAACTCGTGTATACAATCAGTATCTGATTAATAAAGAGGTCTAGTTTTCGTTTTTATCTATGTTATAGCTAAGTCAGCTTGATGTGGAAAACAAAGGATATAAATACATGTGTGTGTGTTTATCAAATTGTGTGTCATATCTATGTAGTATGAATAAAATGTTAAATGTCCTTCTTAGGTCGCTCAGTAGAAGAACCAAGCTATAGTGAAGCTTTGTTGGATCAACATACTGTGTACAAACCACCAAGTTCTCTTCAGCTACCAGTAATCAATGATCCAGCTACTACTGATGTGGAGCTATCACTTTCAGAATCAGAATCCTCATCATCATCAGATTCTTCCGTGTCAAGGTAGAAGTTTTGGTTTTAAGTATTGCTTATGCCATTGCATGTATGCAATACACAGTTATAATGTGCTGATACAGGTCATTAATAAGATTATAGCTAAGTGATTTGTTGTATAGATGTTGAGTATGTTATATTGAAATGTTTTTGGAGCCTCAAAACGTTGTTACAATCCATGTTGCCACATCTGGTCATGCTCTATCTGGTGAGTGTACATTTTGACAATAGCCCTGCATTGTAGTTTCCATTTAAAAAAGTTCTGTTGTAAGGCTTTCATGTCCAAATCTCACACGTACTACCTGCTTCCTTTCCATAAATCATCTAATATATGGGGATGATGGTTTCCCAGTGCCTGTTTCAAAATTCTGACACACAGAAATCCATAAGCACTGAGTCCAGTGGCTTGACTGGTATGTCTTTGCATGGAATAGCATGAATACACATTTCATTTTCCAGCTATTTGAGGTCAGTGACAGTTGAACAGGTATGTCATTAAAGCAACTTGTGTGTATGTGAATTATGTCACTTCCTTGGAAATTCTTATTGATTATGTTATGTATGGTTGCCCTGGTAACATGGATGGCTGAGGATTTTCACCTGCTACAAGACACTGCACTTTGCATACCACAGTTGTAATATGACTTTTAACAGGTCTATTTCTGGATGGTCCTGGTGTCCCATTTTGTTTTTGTTAAGAACAAGAGATACCTCTGTCCTGGAAATTCCAAATCCCTAATTGAATACACTTTTATGCATTGGAAAGGGCTATTACATGCCATTCCGAAAAGTGTTCAGTTTTTAGTGGCATCACACTACCTACAAACGTAAAACTATTTCAGAATGTAGCTTTTATACATTCTGTTCCACCATAACTATATATTGGCTAGGATTGTCATATGACTTGCTGATTTGCTTATTCAAAACTGTTTTACTGCAACATATTCATCAGCTTTTTCTATTAAAAATAAGTAGCATAAAAACATTATGGTGGTTAAAACATCTCAATAGTCAATCTGTAATGTTAGTTATATTAAAAACCACATGTTTTTTCATCAAAAGGCAGTTCCTAAAATATGATCTTTCTATATTTTTCTATTTTTGCTCTATGCTATTTAAATATTTATTTTGATATAAGAGACTTACAATATATTTTTTTAAAGAATAAATAAAACAAATTATAGAATAAATTACAAAATTTATATTTTACATTTTTATTAGCCCTTCCTTCAGTTGTCATGCTGAAGCAGACTTGGAAGTAGCAACAAAACAAGTCAAAGGAAGGGAATCTCAGGATATTTTCCCGTTACGTAAAACACGGGTAGGAATCAGATTGTACTGTAAATTTTTTGTGGTTAAAATTTGTTGTTAATCTTAATAGTTCATTAAAACATTTGTTTTGCTAGTAAAAATGGTTTTTAAAGTTTCAGAATTCATCACCTAGTTAACTACACACATATAAATTTTGTTTTATTTCAAATTAACATCTTTGCATTTTTTCATTTAGTAACCTTGTATGCTATTAACTTGTCCGATAGTACCACCTTTTGTTACCAGTGTTTAAATTTCTCATCAAATGAGATTAAAATAACATGTATAACAGCACTATTTTATGGGATATTTTTTTCTCTAAAATATCTAACTTTCTAGCTTTGCTGTTTTGCTCATTAGTGTAATCTCAATAATATTTTTAGGGAAGATCTGAAGAAGGGTCTCCTCTTATACTTAGCCAAGAAGAAATCAGTAGTAGTTTTACTCCATCAGTATCAACTAGCATGTCTGTGTTGTCACCACAGCCATCCATTACAACATGCAGTTCCTCGGGTGGTACTGGAAATAATGTACAGATATCAGTTACACCAGAGAAAGATCTTTCATACCCATCTAAGCTGGGAGAATTTTTTTCAAAGCCAGCAAAACTGCAAATGGAAAGCTTGTGGCTTACGCCTGATCACTTATCAGACAAGGCTTCGCCTCGAACACCATCTCCCAGTCGAATGATAAATATTACCAGTATGCTTAGTCGTGCTAGCAGTCTTGGTGGGTCTAATAACACTCAGCAATCAAGCCAACCATCTATTCTAGGAACCATGGCTAAGGATGTGAGAGATGCAGCCAAAGAAGCTGGCAAGGTGGCTGTGGAAGCCAGCAAGTCTGCAATTGAAGCCACAAAACCTGCCAGGGAAGCTAGTAAAAAGTCTTTGTTGAAGGTGAACTAATGATTTTATTATTTCTTATTTGAAGTTTATATATTACATTGTGATTAGTTTCTGTGTATCAAATATTTTATAATAAAACATTTTTTTTCCAGCTTGAGAATCTGAAATATGTTAATTTTTAATTTTGACAAGTTAGATATAAGTAGACAGCTGTGGTTTTCATAACTTATTTCTTTCTGTTATTGATTAAATTAACCTATCATAAATATGTATTAAATACTTTAAATATAACCAGCACACTATAGGGAAAACTTGAAATATAAAACTTTGTATTAATAATGTTTAAAATTCAAACAAGCAAGTACACAATACACAAGTCAAAATTTAACCTTTCCAGACTAGGATGGGTGTCATTGTTATCCTTTGATTTTTTCCTTTTCACAGTAAACTTACTAAATAGTGTCTAGTTGTATCTTAAAAAAATTCGTCTAAATCAGGTGGGAAATTCTCAAAACAGTAGAGGTACTTAGCTGGGTGAAGTGGATCTGTTTTTGAAAAAGAAAAAGAAATCAACATGGAAACACAAAAAATTACAAAGCAGCTCAAATAAGTACTGATACTACTACCACCTTAAAAAAATAAATTCTGGTACTCAGTACCATTGTGTATCAACAGAATTTCACCTATGGTCTAAATTGATTTAGTTTGGCTATAATTTTATATGTATTGAAATTAGCAAACTCTTGTTGAGAGTCACTTTTTGTGAAAAACATTTAAAATGCTTCCTTTAGAATTTAAGTTTTTCAAACTTGTGATCAGAAAATTCCATTTTATTTACAGCTAGTCAATTTCAAATTGATTAACTTTTATTTTGCTACTATATTTTGGCAATTGTCAAAGTGACTGATTAAGATTCATCTGTGACCTAACCTTTAAAAATGGTGTCGGGTCAGGCTAAGGAACAATAATTTTGGCTAAAAGTATTTATGTGCATTGTGTGAATATGATAAATTCAACAATAATATTCAGTAAATAAGAAACTGAATCATAGGAATATTTTGCTGTCATCTACTGTATTCACTAGAGTTAGCATATAACTTTTTCTTTTTTTTTTAACAATGCAATGAAGTTTAATTCTTTGTGAAACTTCAAATTTTTGAATTAATTTTATCAATAACTCTTTCAACACAGGCTCGTTCAATCTGACCAACCATGTTACTTTTTTGTACTCGATTAAAGTCTTTATAGATTTAATATTTCTAACTTTCAATATAGTGTGTATATCTTCACAAAATTTGGCAGTCTTTCAGTTCATATTATGTCTTTACACATACAAAAAAAATCATATCTTTAGTGAAGTAATTTTAATAAAGTATAATAAAGATGTGTCCATTAATATATTGAGTATTTGTTTTGAATAGTCTGTGTGCAAAATAATTTTCATGTTAAAATTGAAAATACTTTTCCTCATCTCAAAAATTTCAAATTTCCTTTGTTCAATTCCTAAAACCTCCTAAATGCATTTCAAACGTTTTTTTTCAATAAAACTTTATAGTTTATTTGTTATTTTTCTACCCTATCTCAAAATGGGATCAGTCAATTTGAATGACCTCGTAACCACCAAAAAAAAATCAAAATAAACCCAAATCACCATTTTTTCTTCCTAGAATGACTTCAAATTGTAACATTCGTTTATCTCCTGTAGCTCTAAGTTCATAACAGTATACATCTATTTGTAATTAAATTTTATTGTTTTATTGCCTTATTGTATAATTACTATCAATGCCATTATAAGTTGTAAATCACTCATGGAATGTGCAACTCATGTTATGCTATTGAATTACATTACCTAGAGCTGCTCTTGTGTGTGTGCCTCCTGAACCATTTTAATTATATTATTATTATTACTTATTTTACCTAATCTAGTCTTAAATAATTTAAAAATATTCATGTTTTTAGATTTTGTTACTTTTATAATAATAAATAAAGAATAAATGTGAAAAACAAGAAATAAAATACTTACCCAATCTTATTTTTTCTTGCTCTCAGGTCTTTGAAGAGAGATAACCCTAATATTTTATACTATAGTAATTCACTTAATAATTTCTATTTAATTAAATAATGCACCATAGAATATAGACTAATAATATGCAAAAAATAGACAAATTCACTTGCCTCTCAAAAATTTCCTGGCTTTCTAACTATGAGACAAGAGCTATTATAAATTCATCCAAGCTAGTTGTTAACTTTCCCACAGGAATAAATCTTGTACTGGGAGTGAAATTGACAAATTTATAGAGAATATTTTATGTTTAATTTCATACTTTTTCAAGAGTGGTGGATAAAAAAGGGATGATGACATGCTAAGAGAAAATGTGTCATGTGAGTCACACTATTGCCTTGTAGAATTAAGAACTTAAAACTTGTATCTATTAAAATATGGATTATTAGCTAATATTTTATGCTATTCTAATTGGTATAACATAAACAAAAAGTATTTTTATAAAATTTTGAATGTAAGACACTTAAACTTTGTACCTATGTTGATTGCATTAAATAAAAGAAAATGTTCATAATTTATGCACAGAATTTCCAGTCTTTTGGAGAACCAGTTACGAAAGAAAAACCAAAACAAGGAATAGAACCTCAAAAACTGAAAGATAGTGGTTCAGGCACATTCATATCTACCATGAGTAATGAGCTTGATGCTCTCTCATCACAGACTTCCAGCATGATATCTGGATGGTTTGGTATGTGTATTTTAAACATTGTTGTTTACCTTCTAAGCGAAATACTGTGATATGTCAGTTTTAATCATTATGTTTTTTGTTTTTGTGAATGTTATTTACATCATTTTAAGTGAAAGATATTTGTAGGAATACTTTTGAAATGGTTTGAGGGGTAATTTTTGAATATCATATATATATATATATTAGGGTGAACCGAAAATATTTATTTTCTATATCATTATCAGCAGGGTATGCGATTGGTGCCTTTTAATGGTAACAATTATGTGGGTAAGTTTCAGGCTTCTAAAATTATATCTTGTACTGCCACGAGGGGGGAGTATTTTCCTTAAAATATCCATAATCAATGAGAAATCAAAGTAGCATAACTTTGTTTAGCTAATTTAGAAGTTTCAAATCCTAAATTACTCAGAACTCCCCACAAGGAGGTATTTGCATGTCGAGTTCCACCCAGCCATCTTTCCACTGCACAATAGAATTACTGGATTATGTATTGCTTCTTATTAAATTTTTTCATGATTTTATGAGATTGAAGTTTAATGAATCCTTTCTTCTGCAATAGCCACAAACAGCTGCTGAATTTTTTCTTACTATTTTAATATGCCTTTCGACTGCTTGTGTGTGACACACCATTCTGAACTGAAAACTAGCATGTCATCTTGATTAATGAAAGACACCAACTTTCATTGCTTATATTTTTTGTAAGTAGTGGCTCTATTCTCAGTCCACATTATTAGATCAGTGTAATGTTGTAATAATATTTAGAACCACAAACTATCTCATTGTGCTAGAATTTGAGGTAGATTGAGCAGCTAATATTCTATGAAGAGCAAGTTGTCTGATAGGCTTAGAATCATCTCCAAGCATTGCAAGCAGCATATTTTCCAGTTTGGCAAAATATGCATTTCTCTGGATTATTCTATCCACCACATATTTCTCTGATTCAGGAAGAAAACATGATTTTCTTACAAATAGAAAAAGGTGCAGTGAGCCATGGCTGCATGAGGGATGTTTTTTGATATTAAACCAAACTATTGCATACACTTCAATTACATATCTCACTAACAAACTAAGCTTCTTGGATGGGTTAGCAGTTGTGACGTAAAGACATAAAATCCCATTTGCTGCTGTATCAGCAAGAATGGTTCATTGTACCAGGGTCACATAAAGAAAGTTCTCTTTGTAGGTTTCTACAACAGGCAGTTGCTGTCCATTTGAAACTTAGATTTATTGTGTTGTATCTTGTTTTTATCGACAATTTTAGCATTGTCATTTTATTGAATAATGCCCATATCTCCCAAAACAGCTGAGGTAAGGGCTGCAGAAGCTCTATCTGAAATACAGTCAGCTTCTCTCACTGCCGTTGGAAGCAGTGTCCTCATTTGTTTATTTATTTTAGGATTTGGGGATTTTGATGTAGAAAGTGCAATATTAGCAACATCAGATTCTTCTGAGCTTGAAACCATTAAGTCCTCGTAATTAACTATTTCATTTGGTGGAGATATGATACCCATTTTTTTTTCAAACTTTGGTTTGCTTGTGGCAGTTGAAGATATAATTGGAGGAGTTTCATACTGCACAAAATTAATTCTTATAATAAAAGGCAACTATTGCACCCCTTGCCAACTAGCAATTACAAAATAAAATTTTTGACTAAGTAAATTAGATGCACTCTAAAATATATATATATATATATATATATTTATTTATATTTTTTTAAATGGGGCTGTTGTCATCATTATTTTATTAATACCTAGGGTAAAGAAAAACATGTCAATAATGGTTCCAACAAAACTTTCTCAGGAAGAAAGATCAGGAAATTAAATACTTTTTAAGATAATCTTCCAAAATGCTGTTATATTTTCTATTATAGTTTTAGACATTGGTGTATTTTTTGTTGTACTTTAACCTTTTTTAACTTTTTCAATATTAGTGGCAAAAGTTGTAAGCCAAGTGCAGCATTTTTGTGCCAAAAAATAACTAGATAAATAACTTATAGAAAAAGTGAACTCTAAAAAACATTTACCACAATTATTGTAGCATTATTGTGGTAATTTTCTGATAATGTGTTTTTCACTGTTTTAGTGACTTAATTATCATTAGCATAATTTAGGAATTATCCCTGTAACCTATAAGAATATGACATATTTGAGTAAAACTACACATCTCATATGGGTCTTGAGGTTCAAATCTTAATTTGGTAACAGAATTTCAGAATTAAAAAAAAGCATAATGTTAATTAACATACAATTTTTAATGCATTTCCCTATCAACAAATGAAATTCCTGTTCTCTTGCTCCTTTAAATTTCCATAGTTAAAGATGTAGTGGCAATGTGTTCAACTTCTGGCTAAGAGGTGGTTTTCTTAGCTTAATCGCAAAAAATACTAGCATTCAAAATTGGAATTCTTCCTGGGAACATAGAATAATGCAGAAGAAACTGGACATATACACAGTACCACATTAATTTAAACAGTGGTTGATAAATTTATTGGTGTTGAAGTTTTAACATTACCATGTTATTTTAGTTTACTGCAGAGCCATTTAATGGTTGATCCACTATATCCCTGGTTTAAACTCAGGCATGTGAATTCGTATACCACTAGTGAGATATTCAAAGAATGTTTGTCATTAAAAATTGCAGAATCTTTTTAACTTAGATTGTGTTTTAAAGATATGACTTAACTGAGCATGTGGATTTAGCTGTTCAATAGTGTTTTCTTAATAATACCTGAAATAGTGCTGAGATAGTGCTAACCTTTTCCTGTACTTGTATGAAAAAGTTTAGTTACAGACCTATCCTGAATGTTTTAAACATGTGTATTAACAATGTTGAGTAAGTAGGTGAATTTCTCCAATTTTTAAATTCTAAACATTTATTCCAATATAAAGTTTAGTGTTGAAAATCAACAGAATGACAAGTTCTCATTTTTAGGTGTTCATGTCCTTAATAACTAGGGTATACTTACCACTAAAGTCTATCATAAACCCACTTTCAGAATTTGTTCACATTTTGAAAGTTTCATTACTTCAGTCTTTAAAAAAATCTGGATAAAATTCTTCTGTACAGAGTATTTAAAATATCAGGAAACCAGAACCTTTTTGAAGCATAAGTTGAAAACATTAAACAAATGTTTGGAAGAAAGTGTTTTCTGTTGTAATTCCTAATTAGAATAATCCACACAAAAACTGAAAACTAAATACCCCATCTGTTGTGATGTTAGATGTTCTGAAGAAGAAACTGTTACTGTAGTCACTCCCTACTTCAGTGGTTTCCAAAATGTGTGTTGCAACAAGTTGCTTAGGGTGTCATAAGAGAGTTTCATCAAAGGAAGAATATATAAGAACATAAAAAAAATCAAGGTAAGTAGGTTAGGGAGTCTTCATTGAAAAAAGTTTGGATCCCACTGCCCTACTTAGTCATATTTCATACATGATTAAGAAGAAAATTATCAAACAACTACATTCACAAGTTCAGTTAAAATGTATCTTTAAAACCAGAGTATAAGTTAAAAGAGCTCTTCAACTTTAAACACAAACAACATCCACTGAGTACATCATTAGTGGTATATGAGTTCATGTGCTCAAGGTGCAGCCAAAAATATATTGGATCAACCACTAGAAGGCTCTGCAGTTGAATAAAAGAACACTGCAATACTAAAACTTACAACACCAGTAGTATTACCAGATACTGTCTTAAGTAATGTGATGTTGTTCCAACCTCCAATTTCTTTTGCATAATCCTCCATTCCAGAGAAGAATTCCAGCTTAGAATGCTAGAACTTCTTACAATTAAGATAAGAAATCCAGCATTCAATCAGAAGATGAGTCCACTGCCACTAAATCTTCAGTTGTGAAAACATGAAGAAGGAACAGAATATGAACATTGTTGAATGTGAAGTAGACTAAAAGCTTTATTTCTCTATCAGTAATGTTTTCTTAAAAGTAATTTTAACGGTAGAATCCAGATCTCACAGTGTCTTGGTATAAAATTTCCTCTTTATGGATTACCATGTTTTCAGGCATTTCTCCCAATGAGTCAACTTAAATGGAGTTTACCTTTAATTTTGTATGTTTGTTTGTCCCTTGCTATATGGTAATATAATAAGGGGTACAAAACAGATAAAATTTGGATATAAAAGAATAGTTAAAATATATATCACTGTATTTGAACTATTCTGTTATAATTCCTTTTTTAGTTATTTTATACCTTATTAATGCTAAGTTTTATGGGATGCTTCCAACAATTCAAATACTTTGTACGTTGTTAATGCATAATAAGTTCAATTCACCTACATGTGTTTTCAAGTAAACTAGTGAGAATAGCAGAATTTTATTATCTATTGCCCCTGGCATGAATTCATGTTGATAACAGAATTTTTGTGTATTGGAATATCTTGTTTAATGTTCTAAAGTAATTGATGTAACTTAATACTTTATTAATCCTTTTTGCAATGTGGAATTTGTCTTTTTATTTTTTCTCTTTAAGCTTTAGGGCACTTCATATTTCCCATATACCTGGAAATTATTTTTAGTAATTACTGTATAAAATGAAATTAATAGGGAATTTTTTATATGTGCTTTCTTCTGTATTTGTTTTTCCAATTTCTCTCATGATATTTTTATCTGATCTTTATTTTTTCTTTTGTGTATTTTTGTGTATATAAGTACTTGTTTACATGTCACACAGTATGCTTTAGTTACCTGATTAATACATCATTTCTCTTGAACTTATTGTAATTCTTATGCCTAAAATTCTACTATACATTTGGTAATATTTTTCTTGTTTGTTTCTAACAAAAAAAATTATCGCTTTTTGAAAGCAAGTATCTTTTTGTGTTGATCACACTTTTGTTTACCAACTGAAATAATTGTCTGTTCACTTTGACCTTTTCATTCAAACAAGCACCTACAAGCTCATAATAGTTCATTTTCTCAACCTTTTTTCAACATTTTGTTACAAATTTGTTTGCTTTTCTGTTTTTTATTATTATGTAACAATCAGATCTATAACTAATCAGCCTTGAAGAAATTACATTATGATTATATTAATTATGCATCTTATGATTTAGTAGTATTAAGAAGCAGTAATTCAGCATAAACGAGCAAGGGAGGATCTAAATAGAGTCTAGAGGGGGGTTTATCCTCCTCCCCCCCCCCCCCAAGAAGCTGAAGTTTTGGATATTTTAAATCTTTCTATGTCCAATTCCCAACACTTTCCATTAATTTTCACATTATCAATAAGAAATCCAAATGACAGTTTTAGCTTCTATTGAGAACATATTTTCATTTGAGTAGCACTGTTAGAATTAAGATCTTGAAAAGATTTTCCAGAATTAAGTGCTGTTCACTGATAGACTAGAGAGAGAGGTGGAATGTTTGATAGTTATAATGTTGAAAAGGGCTCCTTTAAAGACTTGTGGTTGGTTTTACATTGATCATAATATTTTGGAAGAAAAAGATCCCTTGTGACTATCTTTAACACTAATGGTCCAGACCTCCATTTCCATACAAGAATAGGAGCATAACTGAAAACAATTAAATGTTATATTTCTACCATATATATCTTTATTTTTCTCTTTATTTAATGTTTTGTTATTTCCTCCACTTTTGTTTTGTTTTCCATTGGAGGTGGGTGCAGATCCCTTGGATTTCCTCTCCCTGGATGTATTTTGAAATATTCGTTATTTTAGAACAGTGTTTAGACCAATTAAATGCTAGTGAAAGAAACAGTGTACCATTTCTTTTCTCAATTGCACATCTAATAATTCTTAGGAACTAGTGGATTTTGATAAATCATGTAACATATATATATTGCTTTCTATTTTAAAGCTATAATAAAGTAATATATATATACATGGATTGCAATAACTGTCTTTTTGAATGTAAAATTTACATTATCAGACTTACTGGCTTTGTGAGAAGTCTACAACATTTTGCTGTTATGCTTAATCATGTATGCTTGTCATGTGTGTTAACATTAATATTTTTCTAATTGATAAAAAAGAATTATTTTTTCCTTATTCCTGTAACTAGATTGATACATAATTTGCTATAGATATTTGATATAGGTGTAAAAACTTGGTCATACATTTGATTGCTTTTACTTATTTAATTATGTATTTGCAATTATGTATATATAGCATACAAACTAAATTGAACACAGATGTGTCTGATAGCAAATGTCAAACATTGGCTTAATTGTATTTTTAATTACTTTCTTCTGGAAGTATAACGAACATTTTTTTGTGTTTACTAAATTGCTTTGATTTACTGCAGGTGGGCAAAGAGGTCAGTCTATCAGGGCCAGGGAACGAAGTCAACCTTTTGGGCCTTTCCCAAAAGGTGAGAAATGTCATTATTTTCCTTAAATTCAGAGGTATTCTTTATCAATTAATTTAATTGAATATAAAATTATCCAGGAATAATTTATCACTTACATGGGATTTATTATTTTTAAGATAAAATAATATTGCTTAAATTTTCATATGAGATACATTGCAAGAGCTCAGTTTGATGGATTGTTTAACTTAACATGTAATTATCTCTTGCTTTCTAAGTCCCTTGGGGGGTCAATGATAAGCTTACAGACTTACAACACTAAAATCTGGGGATCATTTATCCACAGTGGACACAGCAGATAGCCCAATGTGGTTTTGCTCTAAAAGCAAAACAACAATAGTTTTCAAGATTATTAGTTCTTTTTTTTTCTTTTTTTGTTACCCAGATGTTACTTTAATGCTCCTCTATCCTTAAAGTGTATGCTTATTTATGTGGATGTGTTTTTAATATGAACTTATTACATAGAACTGTATTTTGAAATTGGAGGATATTTTGTGTGCATTAAAAAATTTTATTTTTAAACATATGGCATAAAAAAAGATACCTTCCCTTAGGAGCTATTAATTACCAGCAATATGTGAATATGAAAATTCAAAATTTCTGTCCTGTCTAAATGTTTTTATTTTTTTCTCATTTATGCGCAAGTGAGTGGCACACACACACATACAGAAATTTTCATTAACAAAAGTAAAACCTGTGTATTTATCAACAGGACGCAAAGCCTTAGTGGAAAGAACACATCTAATTAAGCACAGTACCAACCAACAAAAAAGACAACAAGAAATGGAACATCTTCAGAATGTGGAAGCTCATACTACAACCCACAGGTGGAGTTTCTTTCTATTCTTTATGTTTTAAAAGTTCAAATCATTTTCAGCATTACAGTCTTAGTGCTGAACCAACAAAAAAGACAACAAGAAATGGTACATCTTCAGAATGTGGAAGCTCATAGTACAACCCACAGGAGGAGTTTCTTTCTGTTCTTTATGTTTTAAAAGTTCAAATCATTTTCAGCATTACAGTCTTAGTGCTGAACCAACAAAAAAGACAACAAGAAATGGTACATCTTCAGAATGTGGAAGCTCATAGTACAACCCACAGGTGGAGTTTCTTTCTATTCTTTATGTTCAAAAAGTTCAAATCATTTTCAGCATTACAGTCTTAGTGCTGATTTTTGAACTTAAACATAAACATGAAAAACTGAACATATTTTGAGTTTGAGACTTTACATTTGTGGTAATTAAATTACAGGAACAGTTGTTTAGGAATCAAAATTAATAATTCATTCTGATACATGGGGATAGTGTTTCTTTATGTGTTACTGCTGCATGTATAATAAAGTACATATCTGTAGTTTTGTTCATAATCATTAGCACACTTGAGTTTTTCAGTATTAAAAAATAGATAATTTGGTGGCACCAGCTCAGGGAGTGTTGGTAAATTGTGTGTTTATAGATTGGTTTAAACCTAAACAGCAAATCTTTAACTTATCTAAAGAAAATTATAAAATGACCAACTAATTGCCCATTATGTGATAACTCATGTATGATACATTCAAGATCATTTAGTTCAAAAAGAAAAACTTTGTTCAAAAGCTTGTGATTAGGAAGCTTATTTTTAGTAAATAGAAATAATCTAATACCAATAATTAAGTTTTATGTTTGCTGTAAGTCTGTGTATTCAAAAATAGATTATGAAGTTTTTTCTTTTGTATTTCACAGTGAAAATCAGCAATTTCTCAATGAAATCATTAATGGTGTATTTGATGGAGAGGGAGTGGGCTGGTTAAAACTAAACAGGATCAAGAGGTTAATGGAAGATGAAAATTATAGAAATCAGGTTGTTAGTGCTCTCAACAAAACGGTCAATAGAAAAACTGGACCTGATGATCGTATAGAAGATGTGGTAAGTGTTTGTATCTCACCTACCTAAATTTTTAGATATGATTATCAAAGCCTCATTAAAAAGTAACAGATTGAAAAGCACTTGCTAGATGTAACTCTGGATGTCTTTTCAGTTGTTAGAATTCCATGAAAATCAAAAATATCAAGTACTGAAGAAATTCAAATTTTTAAAATCAGAACGATTGATGTTAAGTGTGAATAAAAAGTGTGAAAACCTGCATAAAAATACAAAACTTAAGTTACCAATTACAAAAGCAAAACAATTAGGTGGAAAAAACTGAAAGCTAAAGACATTAATAAAATCAATTTCTCCATTTGTTGCATTACAAAACACTATTCTGCTGAATTAATACATCATAAAGTATTTGATTTTTTATTTGAACTGTTAAGTGTTGGGTTAGATAAAGAGAATCTTTATGTCTCCTGTTTAAGTGTCTGCCAAAGGCTGTGTGGAAAGGCATGATCAAATTACTGCTTGCTGTTGTATCTGGGCTAGAATACACATATGCAAATAATGGACTTGGTGGTATGGCCAGTGCCCTTCAAGCCCTAGAGATAGCGCACACTCATTATTGGGCTCAAGATCCAACAGAAGAACAACACATGGATACTAGCACCACTGCATCTGCATCGCTATCTCAAGTAATCATTTTTTTTTAAAAACAGCAGTTGTTTTGGGTTAAATATATGCTTACATTTCATATATTTAAGCCTGCATTAGTTACTTTTAATTCTGATTCCTGATACTTTTTAATGCAACAGTCAGTGAAAAAATTCATAACTTTTACTTGTTTTTTTTATATTTCAACCCTCTCCCCAGATATATGTTGATTTTGTTCACTAAAGTTACTTAAGATAAATAAAATATCTGTTGTTTATACAGTTCTATGCTAAGTTGTTTTATGATTAGTACTATGTAATTGAGAAAGTAGTGTACATTTATTCAGGGAAGTACCCCATTTGGTAGTGGAGAGAACCTGTACAGACAATGTATGGAATCAGGGAAACTTGACCAGACAGGAGGTAAGCTAAATAGTATACAGTTATTTGTTACTAGCATTTAAAACTTAATTAAGACCTGATAGCTTGGTATTATTGAGATTGAATATTACTGTTATTCGGCATGCAGTGTACAAATCAAAAACAAAACCTGTCTTTAAATAAACTACTGTACTGCAACTAAATGTGACTCTTCTACCATAAAACCATCAATTGTTACCTTTCAAAGTGATTTCTGTTTTTATTATAATTTTCAAAAGTTTCCGATTTATCTTTTTGTTAAGTGTATTTGTTCAAGAACTTCTCTCAATTCATGTATAAAGAAAATGGCATCTGTAGTATATTTTTTAAACAATACAAAATGTAGTAATTAATATAAAAGTATACTAAATGTTGTGTACAGTTTTGCTGAAAAATGTGTAGTTTTACACGTGCTTAGATGAGGAAACAATCAAATGTGAGCAAATTTACTTCCATTGGAACCTATAAGTTAGGTCTTTGCACTTGTTAAAGGTGATAATAATGCTGTGCAACATTAGAGAAGTCAGATATGAAAATGGAGACAAATCCTGGAACTGACAGTCACTAGCATAGATCACATTACCTGGTGTACTCTGCTTGATGGGAGAGCAGTGTTCAGTTCTGATCAAGACAAAGATCATGCTTTTACATAACTATTTCTTTGTTCTTGGCCTAATTTAATGAATAATATTCTATGTATGACTTGTGTTTTTGGTTTTTCTGCCATAACACTGTAATGTGTTTGTTTTCCTTGACTGAAGTTATGTATTCTAGTTTCTTCCTAATGTACCTAGTATGATCATTCAAGGTTTACCAGTATTTTGGTGTATTCTGGTTTCTTTTCAGACTGATAGAGGTGGTTATTTTGACCTCAACTGCTGGTCTATAAATGTTATGTTGTATAATTAGGCCTTCTCCTAGCTGGTTAAATTTGGTTAATTCATTATTTTGGTATTAAGTACTTGGAATGATGGTTCTATTAGCAATAAATACACATTATTTTACTGGCCTAATGACATACCATTAATAGCTTGTATATGGTATTGAAAATAATCATGAAACGAACAGGTCACACACACACACACACACAGATACAAACAATTGAGTAATTGCAACTAAATGGTTAATTCATTTTTAATGGAATACATTATTACAGAAAGTATAGAACAAAAGCAAATAAGTTGTATTTGCTGTAAAGATTGGAGTAATTTTTTTTTATACTGTTATAAAGTTATTCATGTATATTGAGAAATTTTATTCCATCTTAATCCCCACAATTCAGCAAAGTTGTTGATTTCTACTTAATTTCCTCAGTTTTCATACAAGTCTTTATAACCTTAATAACATCAATACTGGGACTTTCAGCATTTCAGGTCATTATTATGAGTGTCCATCAGCCTCCTTTTGCTTCCAGATATCGTTTCACCACATTTGCTGCATGTTTGGGATCATTGTCTTGCTGAAAGATGAATCATTGTTCATCAGGTCTTGATTCTGAGGAAAAGATATCACGCATATGAATCTTAACCCTTTCACTGCTGTATGCGACTTTAGTCGAATTCCAGGTAGAGTGCTGAATGCGACTTAAGTCAAATTCCTGACATAGTTCCATTTACCAGTCTGTAATATATTCCGTGCCTCACCTGCACTGTTTCTAGGCACCCACAATGTAATTTTGTGTAGTTTCCTCAATTATGGGTGTTATTTTTGTGAAATTCTTGACTTTTGACCCAATTTGAGGGCACTGACCGAAACCATGTCAACAGGTAAACGTAAACAAAAACAATGGCTTGCCACAGAGGATGTATTGAGCAAAATAATGTGAGATTCAGACTCAGAATGGAGTAAATTTGGTGATGACAATTGGGAAAACAGTGACAAAGATACCGATAATGCTGTAAGTAATGATAATACACATGATGTAGTGCATGAGGACAGTGATGATGATGGTAGCCAAGAGGGTGTGGCTGATGCTGATCATGAGTGGGTCATTGATGATGATTATGATTATGACAATTATATCCCAATTTGGTGCTCAGCTTATGCCAAAAGGTCTGGCCCTGATGGTAATCACCCTGTAGATTATTTCTACTTGTTATTCCCTCAGGAAGCATTTGAGCTTATTTGTGAGATGACTAACACCTACACTCTGGACCTCCCTGAAAATTCTTGCTACAATGATTGGGTTGAGTGTACTACAGATGAAAATCAAAGCCTATGTTGGCTTGCAGATAATGATGGGATTGTGTTTCAAGCCAAGGATTAGTCACTACTGGGCAACTTGGTATGGCCCAGTCCCCTGATTATTGATATGTACTACCACACAATCATTACCACCTGATCAGTTCGTTCCTTTATTTTTGTGAAAAATTCTCAAAGGGTTCCACATAGAGAGGAAGGATATGATTCTTTGTATAAAATTGCTCCCCTCATGAACATTGTGAAGCCACTGTATAAGCAGTATTACATTCCACGTCATGAACTTACAATTGATGAGGAAGTTCAAGGGATGGATATACTTTCATCAGTACATGCTGAATAAACCCACAAGGTGGGGTATAAAACTGTGGCCATTGTGTGAGAGCAAGTCGGGTTATCTCTTGACTGGGATGTTTATACTGGTAGAGACAACAACCCTGTGGCACCAGAGCAAGATTCTAGTCATAATGTTGTTATGAAACTGATGGACAATAATGGATATTTGAACCTTGGCCACCATTTATATGTTGATAACTTCTACTCCAGCCCTGGCCTCTTTGAAGCCCTCAAGGAACAGGATACTGGTGCCTATGGAACTGTGAGATTGAATAGAAGGGGATTTCCAGAAGAAATTAGACCAGCAAGGTTACAGCTGAAGAAAGGTGATGATCTTATTTATTACAAAAAGGGTGATATGCTTGTCTGATCCTGGCATGATGCTGCAAGGGTCAACTTCTTCTCAACTATCGATAATAATGGCTACACTTGTAAACAAATTCAATCCAAGCAGTCAGAGACTGGATTTAGGGATGTGAAAAAGCCAAGTGAGGCCTGCAATTACAATGCTTCAATGGGAGGAATTAGCTTGTTTGACCAGAAATGTATGGACTTATGGCTAAGTCATTGACAAGATCTGTACTGGATTGTCAGTACTAGTTTTATGTATTCTCATCAAAATTTCTATACAGTTTCTACTGAAGCTTTAAATTTCACCTTAATCTGTCACAGCGAGTAGCTTTGTCAACCAGAACTTTGATTTCTACATATTTGGCATTTCTGACCTGGGAGCCACACTATTGCTGGAAATATTATAACTGCCTGTATTTTTTATAAGTGATTTGCTGATGTGGCACCATCTGATTGGTTTATAACACCGAATAACATTGTAAACTATCCACATGTGACTGTACTGCGGTGCAGCTCATTTTCATACAGTAGAGGGAAATCAATCCCATAATATTTGCATTTTGCACTTATTTCCAATATTGTATATATATAAACTTGCTAATTAGTTTTTCAGTATCGAGCATAATTAGGAAACTTTTAATGTGGAATGGAAAATTATTAAACTTAACTTTTCAGTTCTTTTACTTTACCTTAAACACCTTATTTTTGGTGTAATTTAAAAAACTTGATTCTTGAATATGATAAAAAATTAATTTATTGTTATAGTTTTATATCCTTTTTATGTACAACATAAATGCACCATTCATGCCCAAAGACAGAATGTTTGAAATGGGGTTCTAATTTGTGAGATCAAAAGCCAACACGTGTTGTGCAAAACACAATCAGCATGCAAAGCATGCTGGTGCTATGGGGGTCTGGGGGCATGCAATTATTTCAAACCAAAAAATGCTAATACTTCATCAGAAGAATGTAGACTATGTAAAAAAGTAAACACCATAAGCAACTGCACTATGACTATATAAGCATGATTTTATTACATCACAAAAACAGTGGTTTTACCTACCAAACCCCCTCAAACCCCCCTGTATACATGTGTGTCATTATATCACATATAACTGTTTAATTGATGATTTTTCTGAATTGTGTTTTATATACTTATCATTACATCATATATAATGTGTGTATAATTAATACTTCTAATTTGGTGGCCAGACATGGAATGGTGGTTAGTTTACTAGATTGCACTTAGGGTCCATGGTTCATGTTCTGTTGCCACAAAACTGCACTCTGATCTTTGGAGCTATGAGTTTGCTATAAGAGTGATCAAGATAACTCACTATTTAATTAGAGTAGCCCAAAAGTTGGTCCTTAATTTGAATCAATAGACTAGAAGAAAGGCATCTAGTCTGTTGGTTCAAAATTAAGGACTGCTAGTGTAGATTGCCCTCATGTAGCTTTGCTAAAATTTTTGAATCAGTATAATCTAATACATATTTCATTTTCATGCTGAATCTCCATCTTAATTATCATATGATCTATAGGGTCTTTAATCATTATATAGAAATATCTTAGCATAGTGTGTGTTTTTTTCTCTTTTAGAATTAAATCATGGTACCTTTTGTTCTGAACATGGCCCATGTTTTCTAGGATCAGAACTAAGTCCTCATCAACACAAGGATTCATCACTCTCACCAGAATTCCATGTTAATGTAACAGTTTCACCAGAGAGTTCTGAACTTGGAGAAACAAATGATTCACTTCGTACTTTCATTGCTACTAAACGAAACCTGTTGTTTTCAAATATGACAAGTCTTGAGATGGAGGTAAAAATTCATTACTGAATACTACTGAATAATCATTTTATGTTTCTACATTTGATCCTATCTGAGAAATAATAGCTAAAACACAAATTGTTGATAATTGTTTTATTTTTTTAAAACCTAACTAACAGACATGCATTCAGTGTAGATGTATTTTTCAATCTTTATTATATATTTCATTATAACTAAGAGAGTGTATGATCAATGCATTAAATTTGTTTTAATATTTAGTATTTTTCTGCAAACATAAATTATGATGTAATAAAAAAATTTTTCAATTTAAAATGGCAGTATTTGAATCAGAAAATGTGAGAAATTAACATATTGCATGTTTAATGTTATATGTATAGAGAATGTGATTCACCCATTGATATGGAACATTTCTAAGTTCTTAGTATAGCCACTAATGAACGATAACTATATTTATAGGAAATACTCATCATCATCAAACTTAGCCCATAAATAATTCTTGAAAAATCTTCATCTGCATTTTAAGCCTAATTGGACTTTACCTAACAATCTTAGACAAAAAGGAAAGAAAATAGAAAAGTCTTCTCTGAGCATTAATGATGTATTTGGATGTTTTTTTCTTTCTCATTTTTTAATGTATTTTTTGTATGCTAGACTTTTTTAAGTATAATGTATCATTTAAAGTTTCTGTGTAAATACATGCTGTGAATAGCAAGCTTCTGAAGGAGTGACTGGTGGATCAGATACAGCAGTAGCTAGTTCTAATGCTAGTGAATCTGGAAGTTTAACTACTAATCCAACATTTTGTCGGACTTCTTTGGGTGACCAGAATATGTACAGATCCACTGCTTCAGACAGTGAAGTTGAGTCAGGGAATGTAAGAAAAGCCTATACTTGTTTGTATAAAATAATAATTGTTATTTAATAGGTTATACCATAATCTAATCAAGTGATCTATATGTATGCTTAAGAAGATTGAAAAGTCTTTTTCTTATATATTATATATAGAGCTATATTATGTCTGTGTTTTGGATTGATTATTTTATGTACTTAATTTTACATTTGTTTAATTTCTGAGTTATTGAAGAGTTTTTCTTAAGTTCTATATAAAACCATTTCCATAAGTTTTTTTTAAGTGTTAATTTCTTTTGGTAGACTGACAAACAAGAATTGTTTATTTATAAATCTTGCCATTTTTACTATTTTCAAATCATGGGTGAGTCAATAATCTTACACTTTTTTTTTTTATTAAATAAATTTTGTTAATAGAGAAATTTCTTTACTGATAAATTATAGTTTTGGTTATGTTAATAGATTAAATGTTATTTTGTATTCATAAGATGCAATAAATTTGATGACTATAAAACTTATTTCAAGCATCATATTAGCACAAGTAATGTCAATTTAAATTGTTTATTTCAAAGTGCAATATATAGAAAAAAATGCACGTAATGTTTTATCAGTTTCCTGTTGCACGAGAAAAGCGAACCCCCAGTGTTTGGAGTAGTAAAAGTAGCCTAAGTATGGGTCTCCAGTACCATAGAGGTAGCATTGTGAGCACGTCATCTAATCCTGATCATGAAGCTGTAAGGAGATACTTGTATGAGGGTTTAATTGGTAAGATTTAGATAAGGCTTATTGTTTAATCATTAGTCCTTAACTTGAAGATGTTTATAAACATTTTCTCATAATTACTGGTACTTGATGGTATAAATAAAATAATTTTTTTTATATGAACTATGAGAGTGAACAACTTTTAATATGTTTTTCTTGTTGTATTTGTATATATGTAAATTTAAATATGTGATTTTTACAGAGTGTAAGTGAATATGGTTCTGCTATCAGCATGTGTTACTGTAGTCTCATTCTTTCATAACTGTTAATTAAATGTCTAAAAGTAAAAAAATTAAAGCTATTTAATGTTTGAAAACGTATTTTAATGTCAAAGAATAGTATGAAAATATTCCTTAATAATAATTGATATATAAATTTGTTTTTTCTTGAAAAATAAATACCTGGCATTTTGTAACGTGTTTGAGATTTTTAATGAGAAAGTTATAAATAAGATGGGTGCCTGCAATGTGTTTAGAAGGTTGATCATTTATAAACACTGCATCATCTTGTTCAGTTTGTTTAAAGTTTTTGCTGATCCTTACACTAGAATTTATGAAATTGTTTGATGCAAAAAAATAATGTGTCAAAACACCTATATGTAAATTTCTTGAATACCGATTTAATTTCAGCTAGAGACTCTTTCTACGAGAAATGTTATATGTCACTGACAAACTAGAATATATTGAGAAATAATTTGAATATAGCTGTAAAGGTTTGGTTTAATAAGTGGTGTATAGTAAAATGATGTTTATAGTTATAAATTTTGAATTTTTTTCTGAATGCTAACAACATGATGTTGTTAGAAGTAAATACAATTTTATATTTTTACATCTATAGGAATAAAGTATACAATGAAATGATCAGGTTTACATGGGAAACCTTGTAAAAGGCAGAAACTAAGTTCCATACATGTATTTTGACATACTTATAAACAAAAGACTGGACAAAGTAGGTTAACAGACTTGTGAACATGCTTAAAAATTACTTATAAAAACATATCTCTCGTTAGAAGAACTGATGTCTTGATTTTTATAAAATGGAAGTTTTTAGAATTATTAATATATCATTTTAACTTCTAGTTCAATAAATTAAATAGGAAAAGAGCGTCCTTCACTTTGGGACAAAATGCAGTTTTGGGAGTATGCCTTTCTTGATGCTGTGGTGCAAGAACGTGATATGGTTGGAATGGATCAAGGCCCCGGGGAGTTAATGGAAAAGTATAGAAACATTTTTTTGTTATAATAAGTGAAAGATGTTTGTATACAAACACACTTTTCTATCATTTGTGTTTTTGT